AAGACATTAATATCTTCACTGACCATCAACCCTTGACCTTCGCAGTTTCGGAATCCAATCCAAATGCGAAGATTAAAAGGTGGAAAGCGCGCATTGACGAGTCTAATGCACGTATCTTCTATAAACCTGGCAAGGACAATCTGGTTGCGGATGCCTTGTCAAGACAGCAGCTCAGCAACGATCCACAGTGAGGTATCTCTCACCAACACCATTGAGACAACAGACAAACCCTTGAATTGTTTTCAAAACCAAATAGTGCTAGAAGAGGCGCGTTTCCCCTTAAAATAAAGTTTTATTCTTTTTGGAAATAAGAAACGCTACCTGATCAGCTATACTTGCATCGAATCGCTGCTAGACGAGCTCGAAGATGTGGTTTCACCCAAATGCGTAAATGCTCTCCACTGTAATTTACACACGCTTGCAATGATACAAGATGCATTGGTTCGAAGATACCCGGCCACAAAATTCTGGCACTGCAAAAATCGCGTAGTGGACATATTTGCGGTTGGAGAAAGAAGGGAAATCCTCACAGCCGAGCATAATAGGGCCCATAGGGCACAGGAAAATATTAAGCAGGTACTCTCGGAGTACTACTTTCCAAAGATGGCAAAAATAGCCAATGAAATAGTACAAAATTGCAAAACATGTGCTAGGGCTAAATATGATAGACACCCCAAAAAACAAGAGCTTGGGGAGACACCGATCCCCTCACATGTAGGAGAGATGTTACACATAGACATTTTCTCCACTGACAGGAAATACTTTCTCACTTGCATCGACAAGTTCTCTAAGTTTGCTATTGTCCAACCGGTCCCTTCAAGAACCATTGTGGATCTGAAGCCAGCTTTAATGCAAATAATGAATTTTTTTCCAAAAGCCAGATCCATTTACTGTGACAATGAACCGTCATTGAATTCAGAGACCATCGTGACTTTGCTCGCAAACAACTATGGGGTCAGCATTTCAAATGCACCACCATTGCATAGCATCTCGAATGGACAGGTTGAGCGCTTTCACAGCACTCTGTTAGAACTAGCCAGATGCCTAAAGATCGATAAAGGCATAAGTGACACCGTAGAAGTCATTTTACTGGCTACAACGGAGTACAATAAGTCGATCCATTCGGTCATCGACCAGAGACCAGTCGATGTGGTTCAGGCGCACCCAGATAAGCCACAAGAAAAGATACAAGAAAAGATCAGAAACGATCAGACGACGCTCAGAGCTAGGGAGAATGCAAATCGGCAGAATAGGGTCTTCGACATTGGTGACAAAGTTTTGGTCAAGTCCAACCGACGGCTCGGAAACAAACTCACACCTTTATGTGATGAGAAGGCCGTGGAAGCAGACCTGGGGACCGAGGTCCTCATTAGAGGGAGGGTGATCCACAAGGACAACCTAAGGTGACTCCCTTGTTTTTTCACACCTTTTTTTTAGCCACTTGGCATAGTTTTTATAAAACATTTTTGGTGGTGGGCAAACCTCTTTAAAAAAAAAAAAAAGAAAAACAAAAAAGTTGCTAAAAAGAAAGAAAACAACTTCATTTCACAGGTTTGGATCCATATTACTCCTTTCCTTATCAGTGGCTTCGGCTCATGTCACCGACTACTCGCGTGCCAAGTACATTCCCATCGTCGACGGTGAAATCTTGGTATGGGAAGAATACGCCTATGTTAGGCACTCGGCAAACCTTTCAGAGTACGTGCGAATGGTGGAAGAAACGGTCAAATTAATTGACATGTTCCCGCTATCCCACATGAAAAAACTTCTAAGTGTGGACACGGCACATCTACAAGACCTATTAGAGGCGTTAGGCACACACCATAGAGTCGCCAGGAGTTTAGATTTCCTAGGATCCATACTGAAGGTCGTGGCGGGTACACCCGATGCCGGTGATTTAGAGCAGACTAGGTTCACTGAAAGGCAACTAATAAATGCCAACAATAGACAAGTAGAAATAAACACTAGAGTTCAAGACCAGCTTAACCAGTTAACAATCACTGTCAATAAAATTCTCAAGATAACCAAAAACTCACAAGTTGACACTAGCCATTTATTTGAAATACTACTGACTAGAAACAGAATGCTGATGATGGAGTTGCAAAATTTAATGCTTGCTATTACTCTTGCGAAGGCTAACATTGTTAGCCCAAACATTTTGGACCACTCAGATTTGAAATCAATTTGGCTAGAGGAACCCACCAACACGCCCATAGGAGATCTTATGTCCGTTGCGTCCGTAAAAGTTCTTCAATCCATTAACACTATACATTTTATTATTAAATTCCCAAAGATTAAAAAAGCTTGCAGAAAAATTACGATTTATCCTGTCGTCCACAAGAACTTCATATTGCGATTGTTTGACAACGTCATAGCCGAATGCGATGGAGAAACCCACACACTGCAGAGTTGCGCCGCTTCACCTGGAGCAACATTTTGTCGTCTGGCATTAGAGAGTTCATGTGCCAAAGAGCTTTATGCAGGTGGCACGGCACACTGCGAGATCCAGCCGAGCAACCTGGAAATAATCACCCATGTAGATGACGGAATCATCATCCTCAACGACGGGTCCGCAAGGATTCAGGTGGACAACGGCACTGAGATCCAGGTACAAGGCACGCATCTCATCAGCTTCGGAGACCGAGTCGCAATTAACGGGACTCTGTTTTACAATCACAACAACGTACGCAATGGAGTCCCGGGTATTGCCAATTCCCCCTTGCTGAACATCACTGCCAGCCAAGATGTCCTCAGCCTCCCTTACCTTCATCGTTTGAGTGAACGTAATTTGGAGGTGATACAGCAATTCAAGAAAGACGCCGGAACTGATCAAGCTTATCGTGTGGCATTCATCATTGGAGCCATATGCTGTGCTTTAATCTGCATTGGCCTCACTCTTCGGCGGACCATCGACGCAAAGAAGTCGGCGAAGCAGTTACGAGAAGTCGTCGCCGGGATTGGGTCGGCCGAGGACGGCCTTATAATTGAAGGGGGAGTAGTTAACACATAGCACTTAATATAGGATATTTCATAAAGTTATAATCAGCCCTCGCTATCGCGTGCTTCATAAGTTAAGGAACAGCCCCCGCAATTGCGACACTGCATACTTTGTATCAGCGCGCAATAGCTGCAATGGTCAGCGGTGGTAACCAGACACTTTTGTTTTGCTGCAAGAGTTTCCGTTATTGCCTAAGATTTTGCTGAGTCGGCTTGCCGACCATGACATTGTGGCGTGATGCGATTTTGGCTTAGCTTAAGTAAAATTTTGTGGGCATTAAGTTTTCAGTTTTGTATTTGACGTTTAAGAATAAACTTGCACTACTCCGGCACGCTGCCGTAAATACCATTTGTTATATATTACAAAAACATTGCTGAGCCACAAGGCCAGTGATTAGCAAAGAGAGTGAAGTCAAACTCTCCACCATAATCATCCTAATTATCATTGGACCAGCAAATCGAATTAATTTATATATATATATATATATATATATATATTTTTGCATACCTTGGGTAATTAATTTTTTTTTTGTCTGTTATGAATTAAAATTTTTTAACCTATCTTTATGAACTGTTTGTTTTTTACTCTTATTTCCGGAAATAGCTATATTATCTTCTATTTTTTCAACTCTATAGGGCCCTGTGTATTTAAAATCTAGCTTAAGGCCTACTTAATTTTTTAGTAAAACTTTATCTTCTATTGATAGAGTTATGTTCCTAGTTTTTAAATCATATATATCTTTATTTTTCTGTTTATTTAATTCGAGCATATTTCTTGATCTTTTGTATGCTACTTCTAATCTATACCTACTCTATAGCGTAGTCATCTATGTTATATATAGGTTCTATATTACTTATGCTGTTAAAATACTTTGGTAGATTATTAGTCTTACCAAATACTAACTCATATGGACAATAATTATGTGCCATAGAAGGGGTTGTATTGAAGCAATAAACAAAATATTGAAGCCATGCGTCCCAATCTGTTTTATTTACTGATATATAGGATCGTATATATTCGTTAAATGTTCTGTGGCTTCTTTCTATTGTTCCAACAGTTTGATGATGATGTGCAGTTGATGTTATATTCTTTATTTTTAAATATTTGCACAAATCATTTATAATTGAATTCTTATATTCCGTTCCCATTTCCGAAATGAACGTCTTCATTGGACCGTACTTGAGAATAAAAGATTCAAATATTGCTGTTGCTACTGTTGCTGCGCTTTTATTTGCGACAGGTATAGCAACTAAATATTTAGTCAAGTCACATTTGAGCGTGACGGCATATTCATTGCCTTTTTCTGACTTTGGTAGTGGACCAATTGTATCCACTATCACTCTGTCAAAAGCCTTAATCGGGGTTTCAGTAATTGTTAAAGGGGTCTTAATATTTGTTGTTGTTTTTGCTTTTTGACATTTCTGGATGTACTATGTTATATCACGAGTCATACTTTTCTAGTTGTTTTGAGGAGATGCTAGTTTGCACCCCACTTCGGCCCCTTTTATGTTTTATAAATTTTAATAAAAATCAAAGGAGCCTTTAGACTGCTTGTAATGCGTGATTTACTTCTCGAACTTTCAACAATAACTATCGATAGATTAGTGGTGAGCAATTTACAATGGTATTTTATGGTGGTTTAAAAATAATAGTATGTGACTTCAATATCGTGATTTGAGAAGTAAAGATATATTGTAATTCAGATATAATATTATTCAGAGGGCGTTCTGCTGCGAACATGCTCCCCCCGTTGGAAGATACAAGCTTTCAACCGATGTGGTCTCGATTGGCAGAACGGCGATTTTGGCAATGGCTCTCTTGACCAGACCATTTTGTGTACGAATGACTGCTACTCTCACAATGCCGTCGTCACCCGTGATGACGCTGTCGACTCGACCAAGCGGCCACCTGAGTGGTGGTGCATTGTCCTCCTTGAGCAGCACGATGCTGCCGGCCTGAAGATTTTGCTTGGACGATCGCCATTTCCCGCGCTCTTGGAGCAACGACAAATACGATGTACTCCATTTCTTCCAGAATGATTGCTGCATGTGACATATTCGCTGCCAACGGCTGAGGCGACCTATGCTTAGGTGAGTTATGTCTGGCTCGTCGATAGTGGCATTGGCTTTGCCCCAGATGAAGTGCCCAGGCGTGAGTATCTCCAAGTCATTCGGGTTTTCTGTAATAGAGCAAAGCGGTCTTGAGTTAAGCATTGCGGATATTTGACAGATGAGAGTTCGGAATTCGTGGAATGAGAGAAGAGAATTTCCAACGACGCGGTAAAAATGATATTTTGCTGACTTGACAGCGGCCTCCCACAATCCTCCAAAATGTGGCGAACGGGGCGGAATGAATTTCCAGTTGATTCCCAGAGCTAGGCAGTTGCAAACAATCTCATTGCGCTGGGGATCGCTTATAAACAGGTCGCGCAGTTCCTTCAGCTCATTTCGAGCACCCACGAAATTTGTGGCGTTGTCTGTCCATATTGTATGCGGTTTCCCTCGAAGGCTGATGAATCTCTTCAAGGCAGCGATAAACGATGACGTGGACAGGTCCTCTACCAACTCTAAATGCGTTGCTTTCGTTGCAAAGCATATAAAAATTGAGATGTAGCATTTCGTTGGTGAGCGATTCCTGACCTCTGATTTGACGTAGAAAGGACCGCAAAAGTCGATGCCAGTTACGTGAAACGTCGGACTTGGCTGCACACGCTCAGCTGGTAGCGGGGCCATGACTTGCTCCAGAAGTTTAGGTCGCATTCGAAAGCAGCGCACGCACCTGTTGATGATATTTGAGACAGCCTTGAGACCTCCGATGGGCCAGTATCGCTGGCGGAGTGTTGCTAGAAGGAATTGCGGACCAGCATGAAGAAATTCCAAATGATAATATGTGATCATAGCTGCGGTGACTGGGTGGCGTTTAGGCAACAATAACGGATGCTTTGCTTCATATTCCAAGTTTGAGTTCTGAAGGCGCCCGCCGATGCGCAAGAGTCCCTCAGCGTCCAACAGTGGGCACAATGAACGAAGTTTGCTTCTTGTTGGAAGCGGCCCTTTTAAGCTGAGTGCTTTGTACTCTTCGGCGAAGTGCGTAAGTTGAATGTTTTTTATAAGTAAATGCGTTCCGCACTTGATATCATCTGGAGTGAGTGGACCTTTTGAACTCGTCGAATCAGATCTTTTTAGCGCAATAAATCGATACACGTATGCGAAAGTGCGCTGTAACTTGGCAAATGTGTTGTTGAATTTACAAGATGCCGATAGGTCCGTCTTCGTTGATACTACCAGCACTTTCTGGCGTCGTTCTGGAAGCTCAAAGGGATAGGCGACGTTTTGAGGCCAAGTCGAGCTAGCGGCCTGTATAAATGGGGGTCCATTATGCCATAGCTGTGAGTCTAAAAGTTCCAAAGGTGTGCATCCACGTGATAAAATGTCCGCAGGGTTCAGCTGAGAGGGTACATGATGCCAGGTCATGCCCTTGGTCCGCTCCTGTATTTGTGATACCCTGTTGGATACAAAGACGTTAAACTTTGAAGGTGATTCACGAATCCATGCAAGCGCTACTGTTGAGTCGGTCCAGCAATGATATCTGCATTCGAACTGAATGCACTTGGCAATGTTTCCTATGAGCTCTGATAATAAAAGTGCAGCTGCCAGCTCAAGCTTTGGGATTGTCAGCGTCTTTAATGGGGCGACCCTTGATTTAGAGCATAGCAAATGTGATGAAAATACCCCTTGCATTTCGGATCTGACAAATACGCAAGCACCATAAGCGGCTGTGCTGGCGTCGCAAAATCCATGCAGCTCATACGTAGCTAGCGGCATCAATACAAAACGGGAGAATTTCAAGCTGCTGACAAATGAGAGTTGCGATATGAGTTTGATCCATTCGAAGTGTAGCGACTGCGACAGGCATTCGTCCCAATTGACCCTTTCCTTCCACAGTGCTTGGAGAAATACCTTTAACCTGGTAACGATGGGAGCGATCAATCCGAGCGGATCGTAAAATCTCGCTATCATTGATAATATGCTCCGCTTTGTGACTGGTCCTTCGGGTACGATCTCCGCAAAGTTGAAAAGCAGGCTATCCGAGCTAGGGCTCCAAGCTAAACCAAGCGTCTTTGCAATGTTGGTGCCATCCTTGAACTCCATTAGCTTCTCACAATCGGATTCGCTTTCTCCTTTTAATGCATCAGGCTCGTTTGAGCAAACTTTCTGATTGGAAAGTGACCTTTAGCCAGTAGCAGTTTTACTTGCTGTCGGATCTGAATGGCTTCTTGTATAGAGTCCCCTCCAGAAACTAAATCGTCTACGTAGAAGTCGCGACAAACTGTCTTTGCAGCTAGTGGAAAGGTAGGCTCTTCGTCGTGGGCCAGCTGCTGCATCGCTCGAATTGCTAGAAACGCAGCGGGTTTGGTTCCATACGTTACTGTATCCAGGGTATACGTCCTTATGCTTTCATTTTTGTGATCACGTCATAAGATGCATTGCAGAAATTGATCTGGATGCGTTATTCGTACACAGCGGTACATCTTACAGATGTCACCGCACATGGCAACCTTTAAAAAACGAAACTGAATTAGAATGTTGAATAATTTGGGTTGAATTGCTGGGCCTGTATGCAAAAGATCATTCAGAGATGCGCCTGACGTGGATTTGGCTGATCCATCAAAAACGACGCGCAATTTGGTGGTTGAGCTATCTGGCTTTTCTACGCAGTGGTGGGGTAAATAGAATTGTGGGACAAGCTGCTGCTTGGAAGCCAAAGACATGTGGCCCAAGTCGATGTATTCGCGCATGAATGCAGAGTAGCTCTCCTTCAGCTGGTGATTTTTGTCCAATTTGTTTTCGAGCGACTTGAAACGTCGTAGAGCACGTTGATATGAGTCTCCTAGCGTGTCGAAGCTGAGCTTTGCTGGAAGCCTAACTGAATACTGCCCTGACTTTAGTCGCGTGTAGCCTTGGAGAAATAACTGCTCACATAGTGCGTCTTCATCAGAGAGCGCAGGGGTTGTACCGCAGCAATTGTCGACTTCCCAGAATCGTTTTACAATATCCGACAGTGGATCCTCCCATGGATTAGGTTCCTTGTAAAGGGCTGAAAGGGATGTGTGTTTGTTGTGTACGCGAGAGAGTCCGCCAGACGCAATCCATCCGAGCTTGGTCTTTTGGAGCGTTGGTAGGTTATCCGCCATTCGAATTTGGCCGATGCAAATGAGATCGAAAAATAGTCCGGCACCAAGTAATAAATCTATTCTTTGAGATTTGAAAAACGTTGGATCCGCGAGCGAGATGTTTTTGGGGATATTCCACCCAGAGATGTCTAACCCAAAGTGGGGCTGATAATCCGTTATAGTGCGAGTAACGACTGCTGAAAATGATGTGCTGAAGCTCCTATCACGTGACTGCGCTGATATGTCAGTGGACATGTTAGAAGATAGGGTTGATTCGCCTATACCAGATATTGATACGGCAGCATGATGAGTTTTGAGTTGGAGCTGCTTTACTAGACGAGCAGTGATAAAGTTGAGTTGAGATCCAGAATCCAGTAATGCACGACAGGGTATGAATAAACCTGAGTGGCTCTTGGCATATAAGATGGCGGTTGGAAGCACCACATAGTCTACAGGCTGGGCATTCGTGGCTTCAGGTGCGAATTCAAGAGCAGTGCTGACGAGAGTTGAAGATGGTGGATTGCTTGAAGACGATGCGTGAGGCTGGATCGTGGCTGCAGCCTGCAAGCTTGGTGTACACAGGGCAGATGATTGAGTTGTGATGGGGCTCATGTGCAGCAACGAATGATGTTTTTGTTGACAATGCCTGCAGTGACCTTAGCGACATTGCTGCAAGCCATGGCCTTTGCGCAAGCAGTTTAGGCAAAGATGCAATCGCTTGGCCTCCTTGTGGCGCAAACTTGGGGACAGATTAAAAAATAACGGGCATTTAACAAGAAAATGCTCTTTTGAGTCGCAAAAATTACAATTTTGCTGGTAATTGTTAGATGAGGATGCAATGAATGTGTTACGATTCAATTTTTGTACATTTCTGGTAACCTGGTGGCTAGGCGTAGGTGCCGTAGCGCCTTTCAAGTTTTCCATCATGCGGCATCTCTTCTCTAAGAACGCCGACATATCCGTCCACCTGGGTAGCTTATCCGTTGCAAGCGCTTCCTGCCACTTTTCCTGGGTGTGGTGATCGAGCTTGTGCGATATTGTGTGTATGAGTAATCCGTCAGCCAGCTCCTCAGTTGTTGACATGGTGCTAAGCGCCCGAAGATGAGAGTTAATTTTGTCACTCAACTCACGCAACGCCTCTGCTGATCCCTTTTCAACGCCTGGCAGGCCGACTATAGCCCGCACGTGGCCCTGAAAATGTAGCAACTTATTATCAAAACGCTTTATGAGTAACTCCAACGCCTTGTCGTAATTCACGTCGACAGGCTCTAACGATTTGATTGTGTTGAGAGCAGCACCATCCAAGCACGCACGTAAATGTTGTAATTTCTCAATCTTACTCAGGTCCTCATTGCTGCCAATGACAGTCTTGTACATGGCGTAGAAATCCGGCCAATCCTCGTAGGAGCCGCTGAACCTGGGCAGCTGCAATTCCGGTAGGCGAGACTTACGGTTGAACGAGTGAGCAAATGTGTGCGTACTTTCAGCAAAGCGTGGGATAGTTGTTGAATTAGCGTCAGTCATACGTGCCTTAGTGACTATGTCCATTTGACGAGCGAGAGTGGATTTGATCTTCCAGTAAACCTTCTCGAAGTCTGAGCGAGCGTCCGTTGAAAGCTCGAGCAAATCTAATTTTTCTAGCCTTGACTGGCTGATATCAAACTCGGCCTTCAAGCTCTCCGCCGATTCTATACGCACCATCAGATCGGCCTCGTCAAAGCTGATCATCTCACCAGCGCTGAAGAATTCGTTCATTGCTAATAGTTGGCGTTGAACAGAAGCGCATTTGGCTTTGCAAAAGTCTTTTTCACTTGTCGAATTTGCCATTCTGTTGTTGGCGAGGTTATGTTCGGTTGGTACGTTTTGTTGAGTGCTCACTGTACTCCGGCCTGTCACCAAAGTCCACTTATGGAGAAGAGCTTTGCCCTTGACCACTGCGAATGTCACAGAGTGAGCAATGCGAGAATGCGATTACCGTTTTATGTGTGCAGCGGCTTGTGTATGTGTATGTATCGAGATCAATTGTAGCGGCACTTGCATTCACATTCATATGTATATATGTAAGTATGTAGGTATCTGCTCACGGGCTTCTTTTCTAAGCAAAGGGTTGTGCTTGGCACTGATATGCACCAAACAGCTTGGTTATAATAGCCGATCTGCTAAATAACGCGATAAGATCGTTAGAGAGAAGCGCGCACTCGAGCCGGTGTGCGAAATATGTATGTACATACATATGTACATATGTCTGTACTTGAGTTTAGTGCCTATGCTGCAGCAGCAAAAGAGCGATGAACAACGAAAGTGAGATTTGCGGCAAGACGAGAAGCAAGAAATAAAAATCACGTCGGGGTCACCAATGTTTTGAGGAGATGCTAGTTTGCACCCCACTTCGGCCCCTTTTATGTTTTATAAATTTTAATAAAAATCAAAGGAGCCTTTAGACTGCTTGTAATGCGTGATTTACTTCTCGAACTTTCAACAATAACTATCGATAGATTAGTGGTGAGCAATTTACAATGGTATTTTATGGTGGTTTAAAAATAATAGTATGTGACTTCAATATCGTGATTTGAGAAGTAAAGATATATTGTAATTCAGATATAATATTATTCAGAGGGCGTTCTGCTGCGAACACTAGTAATAATGTGTTTTGACCTTGGCCAAGGTTTTTGCAATGCCTGTGTGACCTCCTTGTACTGGATCATCATGTAATGTAGACAATATAGCTTCTTTCTCTTTAAAATTTGTTAATGTGGTCACCGGGACGAGTAGCGCTACTCTCAATGTGTTCAATATTTTATTGCCCATAATTTTAAAAATATCTATTGAAACTTTTTCAAAGATATTTTCCCACGGTGCCATTTTCAATTGGCTGATTTTTAATATACCGGCTTCTTTTCGAGCCTTGGAAATAGTTGTCCTAAGTCAATATATCCATTATTAGTATATAAAACTCCAATATCAATTTTTGCTATAATTTTCTTACCATGTTTAAAGAAACATAGCATATCTTTTATATGCAAGGTCACTACTTTACGTACTTCATCATTATTAATGACTTCGTATACGTTGGGCTGAGAAGCTGTTTCAGTAGATTGCCTTGGCATCTCTACTTTATTGTTTTCTGCGCAGAATTTTTGTCTACTTTGATACCTGGTAGAGACTTTCAGGATTTTATTTTGTATTTCTTTTAGTTCAGATATTGTTATCCGTGACAATGCATCGGCTACAAAATTATCGTTATCTCTTAGGTACTTTACTGTAAAATTATACTCCTCTAATTCAAGTCTCATACGCGTTAATTTAGAACTGGGGTTTGTCATTGAAAACAAAATGTTAGTGGTCTATGGTCTGTTTTTACTATGAAATGAGTTCCGTAGATATAGGGTCTAAATTTGGTGATTGACCAATAAATTGCTGTTAATTCTTGTTCCGTCGTACTCTTGTTACTTTCTCCTTTGGTAAATGCTCTCGATGCGTAAGCTACTGGAAGCTACTACTATCATCTGTGATTATACAAAATTCTTTTGTAAAATCTGGATATTGTAACAGAGTAGGCTTATTTAATTGAACTTTAAGATATTCAAATGCATTTTGACAATCATCAGTCCATTCAAATGGAACATTCTTTTTATTTAATCTTGTTATATGCCTAGAATAATCGGCGAAATTTTTGATGAATCATCTGTAGTAATTACAAAATGCTATAAATCGTCTAGCGCTATCCGAGTCATGTGGAACTGGATAATTTAATATGACATCAAACTTTTTGTCATCTGGTAAGATTCCCTTATCTGTGCATTTGTGTCCCAAAAATGTGACTTCATGCATGAAAAATGAACATTTTTCAGGATGTAGCTTCAAGTTGTGTAGGAAACACATGTCAAAAACACTAATTAAATTGTTAAGCATGTGTTTTTCGGAACAACGGATTACTATGAAGTCATCCATATAAAGGAATGCTTGTGATGGTTCAAGACCAGAGAATGCAATTGTCATCATTCTTTGGAATGAATTTGCGGCTATTTTCAAACCAAATGGCAATCGCGTGAAGCGATAAGAGCCATTGCTCGTTGAAAAGGATGTTATATCTCTAGAGTTTTTGTCTAGCTCAATTTGATGGAATCCTGACATTAAGTCAAGGCAAGAAAAGTATGTTGCTCTTCCTAGATGATCTAATATATCATCGATCCTAGGAAGTGGAAATTTATCGGATAGCAATTTTTTATTAATTTGACGATAGTCAATTACTAATCGCCATTTTTTCTTTTCATTATCTATGGATTTCTTTGGTACTAGTAACAGTGGACTGTTGTATTCTGAGGCTGATGGTTCAACTATTCCATCTTTAATTAGTTTATGAGGATTTCTATAATTTTTTATATATACAGGTTCATCATCTTTTAATCTTAGTTTCTGCTTATAAAAATTATTTGTTGTAATTGGTTCGGTTTCAAGTCCGAATATGTCTGTATATTGACAACAAAGTTCTTTTAATTGTTTATTAAATAGTTTTGGAAAATTTTTAGTTAACTTTGACATAAGATTGTTCGTTCTGGTTTTATTATTTATTTCGGATATATCATAATTTTCTAATGGTTCATAATTCAACTTATTTATATTAACCATTTGATCGGTACTAGTTGTATTTAGTAAACGGACAAATGCATTTGCAGCGTTACGACTGTGTTTGCTGCATATATACCAGGTTGAATTTCCTGGTTCGGAATTAGGATGCTATCTTCATTTGAAGTTAGCTCGATTTTCCGGACAACTTCGGATCTGGCCGGTAACACTATTGTATTATTACCGGAGCTGTAAGTTATGGGAACATAGATGGGATAATTTAGATTATCTGGTCTTATTATGAGCAGATCTTTTGAAGGTGTAAAATCTAATTGACAATTATATTTTTTAATAAAATCTATGCCTAAAATTTTATCACACGGTACAGAAAAAGTTGAGTCGACAATATGGGAGTTGTGTGGAATTATATATTTAGTTGCTTGTATTTCTAAAGATGTTAGTCCTTTGGATTGAATCAATGCTTGAGAGATTCACTGAATATTAACTTTATTGTTAGTGTTTATATCATTGAAAGTGTCGGAATTTTCCTTAATCAAAGATATATCTGTACCAGTGTCTATCAATAATAATAGTTTCTTGCCTGTAGCTACATTCGTAAATGTTACTAATATATTTACACTAAGATTAATCGAATGAACCTTTTTACTATCTATTGCTGTGTACCTAAGGGCTGTTGGGAGTTTCCCGAAGTATTTTGGGCTACTCTCACATTATTGTTATTGCTATTGTTGTGGCCTCCGTTTGAGTTACCACGGCCTCTAGAGATTCCTCTATATTGGCCTCTCTGTCTATTGTTGCCATTATTATTATTATTATAATATCTATTGTCATTATTTTGGTAATTTCCGCGGTTGTTTCCGCAGTTATTGCCTCGGTTGGATCTATTTCTCTGATGCTGCGCAGCATATAGGACTGTGTTCGGCTGTCCGGTTGTTTCTGTGCAACTATTTACAAATTTTGATACGGCATCATTCATAGTATTGAAGGTACCAGCTTGCATGATAAGTTTTAAATTATCGATTGTACAATTTTTAGTTATTGCTTTGACTGCATGCTGAGTGGAATAACTTCTGGCTAACTCTAGGGGTAAGCCATCTGTTATATATGCACCTTCTAACGTTTTTGTCAACTGCTCGACCTCTAGTATGTACTGGTTAGCAGTTTTATTGCGTTGCTGTAGGTTCATCAGTTTTGCTGACAATACTTCTACAGTTTCACCTTTGACATTGCTTTTTAGTCAGGAAATGACTTCAGTTATTGTTGTTTCATTTCCGACTAGATTTCTGGCGACACCTTTTAGCCTTGATTTTATTATAGAAACAGCTAATTGTTCGTGTTCGCCTTTTATTAATTCTAATATTTGTAATGCATCAATAAAACCTGTTAAGTTTTCAGCTTTACCATCAAAAATTGGTATAAGCTTGGATGCTGTATTAATAAAATCAATATTAGTTTGCGCCATTGTGATATTGCTGCTTAATTTATTCTCTATTATGCCTGTACCAGTATCAGAATCTGTAGAATTATCGAGATCTGACATTAAAACAGCTGGAATGGTAAGATTATTTAAATTTTGCTCTTCTATTTTAGGGTTTGTCTTCGCGAGCTCTTCTGACTCTAATTGGTCAGTGTCAGTTTTTTCTGTTGATTCCGGTTCATCACCAGTTTCAACTGTTAGAGAAGAGTTAAGTATGGTCGGTACTGATATATCTAAATTGAACTTTAGTATAATTAATATTAAATTAGATCGTAGTCTAATTAAAAATTTTGATACTTGGGACCAATGATCTTGATTTAATTTTTCTCTCTGGCCATGTATTAGTATACGTGCTTCATTACAGCATTCTACTAGTATTTCTACATGTTTCTAAATAGTGGTTTTTTGAATTTGCCTGTTTTGCGTAAGTGACTTATATGATTTATCAAAGTCAATTTTTATGTTATTTATTTCTTTATATAATTCATTCCATTCCATTATATTATGGATATGAAGTCTTTCTTTAAAATAAGAGTAAACTGAACTCTAACATATGTTGCTCTAATTGTCTTTAGTGTAGCCATATTTTTATTAATATATATTTTATTTGTAATTCATTATATTTGTTTTATTTCATTTTCTTAAAGTTACAAAGTTAATTATAGGGTTATTTTTTTTTCAATGTTGTTTGTGCTCTCTTTTTTTTTTTTAATTAAATTTTGCCTAGGTCATTTGCCTGGCTCATATATTTATTTTTTAAACATTTGTTATGTAATTTATATAGTTTATAGAAACAATTTGCGCACATAATAACAACAATTATTATTAACAGTGTGTGTATTAGTTCTAAGTCATTATTATTTGACTCTACTTTATTAATGACATTAGCAGTGGAGTCCACTGACTTAACGTCTACTATTGCCATTTTGGGCGTATATATTTTAAGATAACTATTTGTTGTATCTTCAGTAAATTTTACTATTGCATTGCTTTGCATTTACGTTAACAAGTTTTTCTACCTATTGGTTTGTATAGCTTTACGGGCTATACTTCTGATTGAGCGGAGATTGTTCCGCACAATTTTACAAATTTTATTATAATAATGTTAACTGTTGCTCCAAATGTCCAGTTGTCCTCCGCGTCAGCTGGTCGTCGCCGGTTTGGCTACGCTGACGCTCCTTCGTAGGCGAAAGTGGCGGAGTGCCCCTTGCGCTGTTGCCTTCACTGCTGCTGATGTCCGTGGCCTATTGGCTCAGGCGGGGCCGGTGCCGGTCTTCACACTGGTCTTTGGTCCCAAGCATGCGAATTTGCATGCTGGAGCGTATAGTGATCCAGGGCAGTCGTCGTTCGGGCAGACGTCAGGTTTCTTCGGCAACGGCTTTGGAGATGGTGTTTTTTCATTAGTTTTTCATTTATAACTTTGATATTTGCTGAGTGAGTTGCGGTATTTGGCTTTCTTTGCTGGAGGCTTTCTTTCAGAAAATCCAGTTCGGCAGTTAATTTTTGTACTGTTGCCCATGTGGGCGGCGTATTCGTGTATAATAGCCACTTAATGTGTGCTATTCTTTTGTTTATTTTGTTTTTCTGGCCTCCGCGTTTGCCCATTACTCGCACTCTACTCACTCAGACTTTCGGTTTTTTTTTTCTTTCAATCTCTAAGTCTCCCGCGCTGGCGTAAGGAACGGATTGCCTCTCACACTTGTTGACTGCTGGTCATCACTTGTAACACTTTTCATAGTTGTTGTTGTTTTGTATAGTTGTTGTTGTGTGTTTTTTGTTACTGCCGTTGCTGCTGTCCTTCCATGTCCAGGTCTGTTTTGACCTTAGTCACGGTCGCCATGTAATAGTTAATATTATCGATTCCAAATAGTTAAACACACGGGCACGTCTGTGCCGTTTGACTTTAGCTTTTTCAATGATTTCTTCAATATATTCTTGTGGCTAAGACCGCATAGCTGCGCTGCCAGTTACGCCAGCAGTGGAGCGGCTTCATACATATTTTGTCTTATCAGCATAATCGAGAGAGAATGAGTCTTATGTACATATTTGCATGTATGTATATATGTGCTACGAATGGTCAGCGTGGGTCTGCTGACTTAGCGTAGCTCATAAGTGGGCGATCATATTACACGCTCACACGAAAAGGTTTTGTTTGTGTACTGCAACAATGTGTTGCTGATTTATTTATGCTTAAACGATGTTACTTTATTGGTACAGTGTACCCTCAATATATGCACATACTACAATAAGTTAACACGCGCAAGCTTGAGTTTGCTGACAACGCTGTTGCGCCGGATGCCGTCGCGATAAAGTTGCAGCCGAAATCCGAAACTCGCACGCGTAAGTAGCCGGATCGCCCGCTAGAAACGCCGACTCAGCATTCAGCCGGCATTCCAGCCGGCAGCGGTGGCTTCATGGTTCGATGCAGCTTGCCCTAAGTTTCAGTTTGGAATTTGTTCTTTTATAGTTCCAAGGAACTTGAATTAAAAACGGATTACAAAAATAAAAGATAATTTAACTGAATATCAACAAGTAAGAGGTTCTAGTCGGGAGTTCCCGACTAGGGGATACCCTGAACCCTCTTATTTCAACACCAAATAAATTAATAAAAAAAAGTTCCCATGGCAGGGCTCGAATTGGCAACTGACCGCATTACTTACTGTCGACTTTACTCAACAGCCACACCAGCAAAAAAAAATAATATTAATACTTTCCCCGGTAGGGCTCGAACTCGCGACAGACCGCACCACTTGCTATGCCTCTACTCAGCAGCCACACCAACAATTAAGTACTTATGATAAAAAAAGGAACTAAAATAACATTACAAAAAAATGATGCAATTACCATGCTATTAGAATGCGAAGCAGACGCGCATGAATGTGTGTGTGTACATGTATACAGAAATTCTTAAAGCTGCTGCCCCATTCAATTGCGCAGTTGCATATAACTTTGGTTTTTCTTAACCGATCTTTATGAAATTTTCCACAATATATCTTATTGTACCATAGAATATTTGTGTATTCTGAAAAAATCAATTGCATTTTAATTGTGGTTTAAATTGGTTGGCAATAAAAGTTGGGTTATTAACTTGATTTATAGCTCTGGGGTGGTAGCGGGGAGGTGGCGATAGGTATGAAATGAAAGATACTTGAAATATCTATAATATTCTAGAAGCAACATATCATGTTGGTGGCTCTAGTTCTTATTATTTACCCAATTTGCTTAAACTAACAGGATGTCGATATCGATGTTTATCGATTGCTTGGAAACGGAGTAAGTTATCGATTATCGGAAACAAACTCGATCTGCGCGGGAACTAGGAGCATCTACATCTAAAATTTCATTTCTAAAGTCTCTAGCTCTGATAGGTTCTGAGATCCTTGCGTTCATACATACGGACGTACG